AACAAGATAAATATAAAATTGAGAATTTAAAAACCTGCAAATAGGGATCGCAAAAAAGGAAGGAAACGATGCTGGGGATACTGTAGACATTATTTACCTTGACTTATTTTGACTTCACCAAATGTCATTTTAGGTAACAGCATGAAGCCAAAATAGGGGTTTGAGTAAATAATGTCTACAGTGTCTCCAATCTTGTTTCCTTACATTTTTTATTATCCCTATTTATATTTTTTATTTATGTAGATTACTTGTCCTTTTATAAAATGTGATCAAAGCTTCGAATCATGGTTAGGCCACTAAAATACAGAAATATTATGAATCCTAACTTTCTTCTTTCTCAGGTTCAAGTATAATCGTATAAAAGAAAGATGTTTCTTTTTAATCACAAAACTTATTGTGAAATCCTTCTTGAACACGGTAGGTCTATTTTATCAGCTTTTTCATCTTAAACATTTAATGTCGAATTTCTGTTCTCCTCTTTATAAGAAAACTACTTTATCTGTGACTGTCACATCCAGTGGTTAGCCAATAATACCACTCCTCTTGGAAACATCCATGGTTGGTGTAGCTCTCCCAAGAAGTACAAGGACAAGAAGTTGACACACGTTGCTAGGATCCTGGACTGTTAATTGATGATGAAGTGAGAAGGTCATGCTGAATGTCTTTATAGTGTGATTTGTTTTTATCAAGGAAATTCACTAATATTTCGTAAATGTTTGAAACATTTAGTGAACTTTATTTCTGTCTACGCCCATTAATGTTTTTTATCATTTATTATTAATTAAAGATCTTTCTCTTAGATATTATCTAATACATCAGATATAATAATTTTAACAATAGCCTTGTAAAATTACAAATTGTAGAATAAATAAAAGCTACAGTAATATATGCCAGATCAAACTTTTTTATTTTTTCAATATCTTCTTTTACCTCTTCTACATTCAGTAACCAAGACTCACTAATTCAACATACTACTACTGATCCACGTAACTTCTACATTCACTAACCAAGACTCACTAATTCAACATACTACTACTGATCTACATAACTTCTACATTCAGTAACCAAGAGTCACTAATTCAACATACTACTACTGATCCACATAACTTCTACATTCAGTAACTAAGATTCACTAATTCAACATACTACTACTGATCCACATAACTTCTACATTCAGTAACCAAGACTCACTAATTCAACATACTACTACTGATCTACATAACTTCTACATTCAGTAACCAAGACTCACTAATTCAACATACTACTACTGATCTACATAACTTCTACATTCAGTAACCAAGACTCACTAA